CAATAAATAAAAATAAATAAAAACCTTCATAAATAAAATTTAAGTCTCTAATCACATAAAGGTAAAAGGTTCATATTCATAAATCATAAATCATAGTTTAATGCAAAAATTACAAAAGAATAAAATCAAGGTCTTCTAAGCAATTTAACAAGAGTAACATTCTAAATTAGTCCTAACTAAGTCCCGATGTCACATGTTCTTTCAGAGCACACCCTACAATCCTACAATGAGACTTAAATATCATCACCAACATCTTCATTCTAATGAACACATGCAACACAATAAAAAAATACACATAGAGCAACAAGGGAGTGAGAAATATCTCACTCTAATTCAAATGTAGAAATAAATGTTAAGCAACACACAGATTGATAACAAATACCACACAAGTTACACATAATCAAGCACAACTCTCAAGTTATAAATACATTATAATAAATGCACATTAACTTATTATGCAATAATGTCATGGACTCAACTCATAAATGCATGCATGTGGTGCCATATAGAAGTTGCACATTTCTCATCACTAGCATGCTGCTACAGTAACATACATAGGACACGTTCATTCATAAATACATCACTGGTGACCCAAGGTACACCTGGAATAGCTCAGTACATCTATAGCATGTGACCTAAGCGACACAACTGGAATAGCTCAATACATCACTAATGACCCAAGGTACACCTAAGATAGCTCAATACATCACTAGTATGCGACTTAAGCGACACACCTGGAATAACTCATTTCACCACTAGCATGCGGCCTAAGCGACACACCTAAAATAACTCATTTCATCACTGGCATGCGACCTAAGTGGCATTCCTAGAATAGCTCAATACATCACTGGCATGCGGCCTAAGCGTCACACTTGGAGTCATATATGCACATGATGCATGTCACACATTCACTATTTCATTGACTCAACATTTCACTTATCATGTCTCATCATATCTCATATCACTTGTCACAACATCTTCATAATCATCCCCTAAGGTCACGCACATAAAGGTTTTCATCAAAAGGTCATGTCCTTAATTGTTCCTCATAGGATTTCTCACAGGAACCCACAAAGCACTCTAATTCATATCAAATCTTATCTATTTTCAAAATTAAACACATATTCATACTCAGAATCATACGAGGAACGCAACAGAACAGTCAAAAAGTAAAACAAAAAACATTCATAAAGTGTTTATTTCCATAGTCAAACAAAGGATTGGGGGCCAATCCTGCTATCAAACTTATCTATTTTCAAAACTAAGCACATATTCATATTTAGAATCAAAGAACACAACAAAATAGTCAAAAAGTAAAATAGAAAATATTCATAAAGTGCCTATTTCCATGGGTAGGCAAAAGATTGGGGTCAATCTTGCTATCAAACATATTCAATTTTAAAATTAAACAAACATATTCATTCTCAGCATTTATCAAGGAACACAATAGAATACTCAGAAGCCAAAACAGAAAACATTCAAAATTTGCCTTATTTCTCATAGGGTTTCTCGTAGAAACCCACATAACACTCTAATTCATATCAAATCTTATCTATTTTCAAAATTAAACACATATTCATACTCAGAATCATACGAGTAACGCAACAAAACAGTCAAAAAGAAAAACAAAAAACTTTTATAAAGTGTTTGTTCCTATACACATACATCAGGCAAAGGATTGAGGGTCAATCCGACTACCCAACAATTATTCTCGCACTCTCGAGTGAGATTTCTCACTCCCCCCTTACCTTGATGAGTAGAGGACGAAGCACGAGTGAAATTTGTTGTCTTCTTCTCCGAGGTCTCTTTATTGTTCAGAGCGTAAGAGAGAAAAATGAGAGTCAGATAGTTTACGTAAAAATGACTTAACTCCCTTGTAACTTCTCCTAACCCCTCCTTTTCAATTAATAAATTAAAAATAATAATAATAAAAATACAATTTAATAAATGTCGAAGATATCCTTCCTTCTCTCTTATAAAATAATTAAGATAATTAAACATATTTCCTTCCTTTTAATAAAGAGCATAAACATAATTCTTGATAAAAACATATTTTCATAAAAAAAAATAGTCTTATGAAAAATAATTCAAATATTAATTAAAAATTATGTTTTATATTAAAATAAAATTCATATAAAATAGATAAATATTATAAAATATATTTTTCTCTTTTAGTAAAAATAACATACGTTTTATATAAAAATATAACTCATATCTACTAGCTAAATAATATTAAAAATCCTTTTAATAAATACATTAAAATATTTAAATACAAACATATTATTAATAAAATACATTTCATAAAAATTACCTATATCACTAATCAAAATAATCATTATATATCATGTCTCATAAATAAAATAGAGCTCATATAATTAATTAATAATATCAAAACTCTAAAATAATTATATTAAATATTAAAATAATTTCAAAAATATTATTTATATAAAGTATAAAAAATTAGAGTGTTACATTATACTACGTACTCTCAAATTTCCAAAAGCTCTATTGTGTATTGAAAAACCTACTTTTTGAATGACGAGTAGTATCGTATCATGAATCGTAAATTATAAAAAATAATTTATACAATTTCATAAAATTATTTAAAAATACATATTCATTCTTAATAACTAAAAATCATGTTTAGAAGACTGATTGACCAATTTAAGATACTTTTAAAAGTTATTTATGTAAATGGAGTTATTTTGAAACTATTTACACATTTGAGACATTTTACTATAGTGTCGCTATGGGCCATAGCGACACCAATAATACGTGTATTTTTTTTTTTTTTGTAATTACGAATGACTAAAATTTAGTCGGTAAAAATCGCTATAAACTATAATGATTTTTGTAAAGTCGCTATGGGCTCCATCCCCATTTAAAAAATATAATTAATATATATTTTTTTTATTAAAAAAATATTTTATCTAAAGGCGCTATGGGCCATAGTAATATTGTGTCGCTATATAGCAATCTTGTTTATTAATTTATGTTTTATTTTTAACATATTTGTTTTTAAATTTTATTAAAAATATTTATTTATGTAATTGTTTTTTTATTTTAATTAAGTGAAGGAAAAAAATATAAACAAAACTTAATAAAAAAAGAAGTATAAAATAAAATAATTGTAAAAAAATTGATAAATTAAATATAAAGTTTTTTATTTTGGTACTTTTAACTAAATTTTTTATTTAAGTCTATTAAGATTTTTTTTATATGTTAATTTAAAAAAAACTGACAAAAAAAAAGAAGTATTTAAAATAAAATAAAAATATATAAAAAAAGGAAAAAGGATGAATTCGCGTGATATCTGATAAGCAAATCGTAACCGTTGGAAAAAGGATGAATCCGCGTGATATCTTTCTCATTCCACCAAAGCGCAAAGCAATTTCTCCTTCGAATCAGTTCACGTGTGGACGTCCTATTGAATACAGCCACGACTAAAAGACACATAGGAGGCGCTATACACAATGTCGTTATAGCATATAACGATTTCTATTTTTTCTTTTTTTTTTAAAAATTATTTATTTTATTTTATCTTATTCATATTTATATTATTAATTTTTTTAAATTAAAATTTTATATTCTTTTATTTCATTTATATTTTTTAATATTCTTAGCTTCATTTTTTTAAATAAAATATTTTGTTATTTTTGTTATTTTTATTTTTTATGCTATTTTTTATAAATAAATTGTGTCGCTATAAATATTTTTTTTCTTCCAATTTATCATATTATACACTATAAAAAATTTTAAATTAATTTTATTTGTTAAAAAATATTATATATTTAAAATTTCAGTAATTTATTTATAATAAATTATTTAAAATGTGGCACTATAGGCCATAGCGACACTATGTCGCTATAGGTCATAGCGACGTCTTGATTTTTTAATTTTATTTTATTTCATATCAATTTTTATGAAATTTTAATTTTATATTTCTGTGAAATTTTAATTTTTATGAAATTTCAATTTTATTACATGTATATTATAAATATTTTTAGTTTTATTTATTTTTGTTATTTTTGTTAAAAAATTTATATACTCAATTTTTCAGTAAGTTATATTATAAAAAATTATTTAATTAGTGGCGATGTAGGCTATAACGATTTCATTAAAGTCGTTTTGTGTCGTCATATGCTATAGCGACATTGATATAATATGGCGTTCATGACTTCTTAGGATTTAAAAAAGTACATGTGTCACTAGTGTCGTTATGACCCATAGCAACACCATAGTAAAATGCCTCAAAGGTGTAAATAGTTTCAAAACAACTCCATTTACGTAAATAGTTTTTAAAAATACCCCAAATTGGTTAATCAGCTTGTTTAGGAACATAAAACGCATTATCGATGTTAAAATTTTTTATGATAGAAAAATATTAAAATTTATCATAAATATTTTATATTAAATTTTTAGTAAATATTCTGATATTAAATCTAGTATATATTAAAATTAATTAAATATTTGTATTTAAAAAACTGTTACAGAGTTTAATTATTAATTATTTAAAATCAATTAGTTTATCTAATTATTCCTATAATAAATACTATAAAAAATAAATAAATTATTTGTCTAAAGTGATAAAAGAATACTAAAAAACTATTTCTTCAAAAAGGATATCATTATCTTTGCAAATAAAAATTATAAGTAAAATATAAGATTTATTTTAATTTATTTTTATTTTTATTTTCAATAGCATAACAATATCATTATATCAATAACTATACTTCAAATAAAAATAATTTACCTAAAATCATATATTAATTTTTAAAATAAATAAATCAGTAACATAAACCGTGTCTGGAAATATAGGCTGGGAAATAGTACCCTCAACTCAAGGCACAAATACAAATCTATAACATGTGGAATTTTTTATTTAATTATTAAAAAAAGTATAAGAACACATTAGATTTTCAAATTCCTAAACGACGTAGTTTAGCACATCAAAATTAAAAAAAAAAAACTTGAGAGAGATTCTGAAGTCTGAAGTCTGAACCCACTAACTAACCGTCTAACCCTAGTGCGAGAGCGAGAGAGTGAATTCAGATTTTACAAAACAACATAAACAAACCCTGGCCACCCTTCTCTCTCCTCTGTTTTTCTTGTTCCTCTGTTTGTGTCCTTTGTACTCGTTACTTGTTTTTGTCTAATTGATCGTGTCAATTCACTACTTTGTTTAGTTTCAGCATTGAAACTAAGGTGTTGGAGAGTGAGAAGCATCAGCCACAATAAATAATTTCTACCATAAGAAAGAAGGAAAACCCTAATTGAAAAATGGAGGCCATGGCAGAGGCTATGGTGGAGAAGAGCGAGACAGTGAACAATGTGATGTGCCTCTTGACGGAGCCAGATGGAACTCCTATGGGTGCTCCTATGTATCTTCCTCAGAATGCTGGTCCTCAACACCTCAACCAGATTGTTAATAAGCTTCTAAACCATGTAACCAACCCCTTTCTTCTTTTCTGAATTTTTAGTTTAACTTTATTATTATTGTTATTATGCTGAGTGATTATCTATTCTCTCATTTTAGGAGGAGAAATTACCATATTCTTTCTACATATCAGATGAGGAGCTCCTTGTGCCACTTGAAACTTACTTGCAGAAAAACAAAGGCTAGTGATGTTTGGTTACAAGTTACAACCAATTAGTCTTTTTTCCCCTTAATTCATTCACTTATTTGCTTGATTTAATACATTTGGTTGTTTTTTTCTTCTTCTGAGAAATAATTCCTTATTTTTCATAAGAATTAACCCAAAAAAAATACACTCTTATTTCACTACTTTCTTTTTTCTGAGAATTAATTCCTTATTTTTTTTCCCTCTGCAATGTTACTTTAACATTATTTCAGTCTCGGTGGAGAAGGCATTGCCTATAGTTTGTCAACCTCAAGCTATTTTCCGAATTCGTCCCGTGAATCGCTGTTCGGCAACTATTTCTGGTATGTAAGACATGGTGGATTGTGTTTTCCCATTCATATAGTGGAACAGTGTTGTATGTAGAATTTTTTTCCTAAAGGAGATTGTGTATGCTAAATCATGTAAAACAGCAATGTGGTTCGGCTGTTGAGGTTTTTGCACGAATTTGTGTTATTGTCATATTCCCTGGAATTCATGTTGTTGGGATTGTTTGTATTTTGTAGGTCATGCTGAAGCTGTACTTTCTGTTGCCTTCAGTCCTGATGGGCGACAACTGGCAAGTGGTTCTGGGGATACCACTGTTCGATTTTGGGACCTGGGCACTCAAACACCGTTGTACACATGCACAGGTTTGACATTTAAAGATGATAAGTTATACTTGCCTTCCTTGTATCAGCTAATTAAATCAAGAAGCAATCGATTAATGTTTAATTATCCTTCCCTCAGTTCAAGAATAGAAATGATCAATTAACTCATGCAATCAAAGTTAGAATTGTGGACATTGGTTATGCCCATGATTGCATTGCTATATTAAAAAAAATCTTGATAGATTGTGTTGGCTAAATCTGTTTCTGGTGAATCCCTATGACCGGTAGTATGCTACAAGGACTGGGATAGGATGTAGAGAATAAATAAACACAAGGGTAAGGAAAACAAAATGGGAAATAAGGGGAATATTCATGTCATATGATCTGGAGCATAAGTTAATGCTGAGCTGGCAAGGAATAGTGGGAGGTGGGATTTTTGTTGGTAAGGAATGACTGAGAAAATAAGAGGGAAAGATAGGAAATGTGAAGGCAGGAAATTACTGCATAAGGATTTGGTATTAGGATTACAACAGAGGTTTATCTCTGCTGTAAGAGCTAGTTGTCATTGTTCCTTAAATTAATGTAAGTTTCTATACTTTCATGATATATTTGCAACTTTTATGAGTCATCTATTTCATTATAGCTGTTTAACTTTTATGCAGGACACAAGAACTGGGTCCTTTGTATTGCATGGTCACCAGATGGAAAGCATCTTGTGAGTGGGAGCAAGGCTGGAGAACTTATTTGTTGGGACCCGCAAACTGGAAAGTCATTAGGCAATCCACTAATTGTAAAGTCTTTAACCTTGAATAACAATTTCTACTATAAAGCTCTTTTATTTTTTTTACATCTTAATGTTTCATTAAAGTTTATAGAGAGCATGCCAAACTTCCAACGTTGAAAGATTCAAACGAAGATTTAAAAACAAAGAAAAATGAAGCTCTTAACAATGAATAATCACTTGTGGTAGCGAAGTAAAGATTGAAAACAGTAGTGGGGAATGCAACATTGGCTACAGGGGCAGCACCTATTTTGTTAGATGAATTACACAACTCTGGTTAATACTGATTGTGCTTCCCTCCTCTTCCCTAACCCACTCCAAAAATAAAAAAACAAAAGAATTTCATGCTTTATTTTGGAGATGTCTTAGATGAATTGTTATTTATTTCTTTGAAGAATTTTGGTTCGTTGAGTATTTATTTTGATAATAGATGTTAATTAATTAGTTTTGTATCATTGTAACATTTCTTGGATAACAAAATTCAAAATATACTAAATGTAGGGCCACAAGAAATGGATTACTGGTATCTCTTGGGAACCTGTCCACCTGAATGCTCCATGCCGTCGCTTTGTAAGTGCCAGCAAAGATGGGGATGCTCGTATATGGGATGTTTCTTTAAAGAAATGTGTCATGTGTCTCAGTGGCCATACACTTGCAATAACATGTGTGAAATGGGGTGGAGATGGTGTCATTTATACTGGGTATTCTCTCCCTCTTTCCTTCCTGTTTCTCTGAAGTTTAGTCTGAATTTTTATTTGCACTCAAATTGTTATTTTGTTATATTGTGTGAATTGGGTTATTTGTCAAGTTAGCCTGTTGCTCTTTTAGGTTCTCAACAAGAGAGATGTTTTTAATTCAAGTATACAAACAAGTTGTATTTCATTTGACCCTTTAGGTTTTAGTCTCATAATTTGATCTTTAGGAAACTTATTCCTGCATACCCCTGCTGGAATAGAAACTCATTTAGGTTAAATTCTTATTTTATGGTTTTAACTTGTGTTTTTATATAAATAAGTTATAAGAGTTTATTTTCAGTCCTTTAATTGAACTGATTCTAATGTTCACTGAGGTATGCAGTAGGGGTTTCCCCCGTTCTTGATTGAATTAATGGTGTAGTCATCATTTTGTAATTCTGTATTACCACATGGTGCCTAACCATGTTTTATTGCAGCTCTCAGGATTGTACAATTAAAGTCTGGGAAACCACGCAAGGGAAGCTAATCCGTGAACTGAAGGTGTGCCTCATCTCCCTTTGTAGTTAAATGCTTCTTGTAGTTGAGTTATTGGGCCTGTTTGTTTAAGCTTTTTTAAGCACTTTTTAATAAAAATATAAAATAAGTAGTTTTCTATTTTCTTGTCTTAATTGCTTTTTAAGAAAAAAAAACTTTTCTTTTTTTTAATCTACTTGAAAAATTACTTTTTCTAGAATCACGTTTTTATTTTTAAACAAACTGGCCCGTTATATGATTGTTTTGAACATTTTTTTTCTATGCATGACTCCTGTTTCTCATCTGGTGCCAACTTTTTATTCATTTGAGTTGCTAACTTCGTTCTTATATACAAGACTCAAATACCTAATTCACCAAGATTAAGCAAAATAGTTAATATACTTGATAACAATAAATTTGACCTACTTATATAATTTTTTTCCCAAAACTACCCTTCTACTATTTTATTTCCTAATTAATACTTCTTTTCCTCTTAACCAATTAGAGTGCAGTCCTATTCTACTTCTCTCTCTTAATTAATATTGATCTCTCCAAATCAATTAGATTGCATGGTGTTTATAATTAATGTATTTCGTCAAATTAAGAAAACGCATCTTAGGGGTATTTTAGTTTAAAAATAATTAATACATAAAACAATATTAATTGGGTCTTATGTAAAGAAATAAACAATTGTTCTAAGTTGTGTATTATAAATAGGAGTGGATGTAGTATTTGGTAATATCTTTCATGTAGCTTTGATGCTTACCAAATGTAGCCTACCAATTGGAATTCTGCTATTTACATCTCGAAGGATTTTACAGTGTTTTATTTTGATTCATCTATAATCTATAACTACAATAAAGGAGATTGGACCTTTTTGTGTACACTATTAAACCCTAAATCCTAAATTCTATTATAAATCACAATTTCTTATTATTTTCTGTAAATTTCACTCCATAACAATATCCATACAATTACAATCAATTAACCACCCACTACTATATATCAATTAATCTTTTATATGGAGGCACAAAGTGCCCTTTTTAATCTAGTTGTTGGAATGTTATCGTAAACATTATACAATCATGTATGTGTTGATACATCATTTAAAAGTTTGATTCTGCAGGTATGATGATCAAACATATTTATCCACGTTGCATATGTAACTTTTTTTTTTTTTTTTTTAATTTTCTTTTGATTGTTTTATAGTGGAATTTTTTCTTTTATGAAATTTTAAAAGGAATTTATGTTTGGATTTTTTTTTTTCTGTGGAATTTTTTTTATTCATGTTGAGGGCTTGGGAAATTTTGTATCTTTGTTCCTTTGAATTTCCTTTTTCTTGGTTGTTTTCAGTATTGTTCTTTTGTCTAGGTGGAATCCATATCTTTCATTCTCCTTGTAATGTTTTCTCTTTGTATTTCATGAATTTCTTTATTTATGAGAAAAGAAAGTCTGTCATGCAATAACAAAAGAATATTTTTGGTATAGATGGAGAGGTTTTTTATTCTTATTTTTGCATCAGATACATGCCTTGTATTTTTTGTCTTAACTCTCCTGCTGATATTCAACTCGTATTTTGTTTTAGTGATGATGTCAGTTTACTGTCTTTACTTTCCATTTTGCAATACTCTTTAATATTTTGGTATTAATTTTAGGGACATGGACATTGGGTTAATTCTTTGGCATTGAGCACCGAGTATGTTCTTCGCACTGGAGCTTTTGATCATACTGGAAAACAATATTCATCTCCAGAGGAAATGAAGAAGGTAAATGCTATTTTGTTTAATGGTATTTCTGGCCCTTCGAATCATATTTATCAGTTACTAGATCTGTCCTGCCTTGGCTGGTCAGATTTCTAAGGCAAACTGAAATTGAGCCGGTTTGTAGAATTGTATCGCTGTTTATGTGACCATGTCAAACCCTGTGGTTTGAACTGGGAGGTGTTGCCTTAGTTCTAACATGCAAGTTTTTTCAGAAAGAGTTACGGATCAATCCTGATCTTCATAATGAAAGGCAAACAGTAATTCCAACAGGCTACTTGCTTCTTGCAAATATTATGTTTACTTCATCCTCACAATAAATTTCTTTTTAAACAAACAAAATTATATTTTACTGTCATATTTAAAATAGATTCTTAAATCAATAAATATAAAATATTAACAATGGATGCTCTCAAATTCTCGTATTTTACCAAATTTTTGTTAAACTTTTGTGTTAAATTTGTAAATTTTCACTTGGTCCCAATATTTTAGAAACTGAACTGAAGAATGATTCAAGAGTCATGATTCCATTGATTTGACGGGTTACATTTGTCATTGAATTGTAACTAAACTCTGATTGAACTGGATATTTCAAGCTGGAGATAGCCAATGCTATTGTTTGACCAGGTCAAGCGGGTGCTTTGGTCTGTTTTTATAAATATTGTTCCCCTCAATCTATGTTTCTACTACTTTTGAAAAAATATTATGCATCATATTTAAATTTACTAAATATATTTATTGATATATTTATTATTATTTCCATTTATTGTTTGGAATAAAATGTATAATTCCTTTTTTGTACAGCATTTTAATCATAAAATAGACAACTTAAATAAAAAGCCTTAAATAATTGACTTTTAGATTGGTCTATTGTATTAAATCTACAAAATTAAAAATTAAAAATTATTAACAAATATAATTATGTTTTAGCTTATCCCAAAACAAAGTATGTTTTGTAGATCTCGAGGGCACTGTTTTGTTCATGTATCCAACTGCATGTAATGAGATTAGGCTTGATTGTTGTTATAAAACTGTTACTTGCATAAATTCTTTTCTTTAGGAACTTCGTCCATCTCTGTTTTACTAAGACCAATTTATGCTGCTGATGAATGTAGGTTGCCCTTGAAAGGTATCAAGCAATGAGAGGCAATGCCCCTGAAAGATTGGTCTCCGGATCTGATGATTTTACCATGTTTCTTTGGGAACCTTTCATCAACAAGCATCCCAAAACTCGCATGACAGGTCATCAGCAGGTACAACTCATTTCCTTTTTTTTCTTTACAATTAAAGTATGTAAATGAAGATGAACCAAAATGATATTCAAATTGCAATGTGACCGGTTTGTATCAGTGTTACTGAGTAGCAATTAGAAAGAATCTTCGTTGACATATTGTACATTATCTTGGTACTCAAAACGGGGAAAAAGTTGTTCCATATCTGATAAACCTACTATTAAGATCCTTTTCCTGGGAAACCTTTGGGGTCAAACTTCATTAGTTGCAGAAGGTTGTCTTTCTGCTTGTTCATTTAATAATTATAATAAATATTTGCAGATGCTCATTTCTTATTGTTTATTACTGGTTGAAATTGGTTTTATTGTAAAACAGATTTAATTACAATTAAGTTAGGACTTTCTTTGTATGCACATTCCAACTTTTAGGCTTAATGATCTAGTTAAACTTGCTTGCTTACAGCTTGTGAACCACGTATATTTTTCACCTGATGGGCAATGGGTGGCAAGTGCATCTTTTGATAAATCCGTGAAGTTATGGAATGGCACCACAGGGAAATTCGTTGCTGCTTTCCGTGGCCATGTCGGGCCTGTATACCAGATCAGGTACAGCACAAGTGATTCTATCTTCAAACTTGAAAGATATTTCATTTAGAACTATAATCAAGTGAACGTTTGCTTTTACTGTACAGCTGGTCTGCTGACAGTAGACTTCTTTTAAGTGGAAGCAAAGATTCAACACTTAAGGTAAGCGTAATTTTCTCTTTCTATTGAGAAAGGATATGTATCATGATTCATGAACATTTAATTTGGTTTCTACATCAGAACACCAATTTTCATTTGCAAAACTAGAACTTTGACCTTTCATCCGTTTGGTTTTCAAGGTTTGGGATATTCGGACGCGTAAGCTGAAGCAAGATCTCCCAGGCCATGCTGATGAAGTATGTCTATTCACATGCCAGATGCTTGAGTATTTTTTTTTGTAAAATATTTTTCTGTTCTAGTCCCTGACCTAAGTTTATTTTCTCGTGGTAAAGGTTTTCTCTGTTGATTGGAGTCCAGATGGAGAGAAGGTAGCCTCTGGTGGTAAGGATAAAGTGTTGAAGTTGTGGATGGGTTAGGCAAATTTGTGGATGAATATTTGGAATCCGAAGTAAGTATAATCTCTATGAAGTTGCTGATGAGTGAATTTCATGGGAATCAATGGTCGGTATTATGTGGATGCAAGATGCAAATCCTCTTTAAGTTATATGGACAACATATAAGATATGTTCATCAGAAGTATTACTCTACATAGCAATTGAGAATATAGGTACAGGACGAAGTTGCTCAAGTTGGGTCTCAGAAAATGGGTGAAGAAGCTGATTGAAACCTTGGGAGACCTATCACATGATTGCAAGGTTATATATACTAAAGATGTTATGTTGTCTGTTTTGAAGTCTTTTTTGGTCTTCCCTCCCATAATGATTGTAGGTGGCATTGTTTCTCAACTACAACTATCATTTGTCGAACTTTCACAAGGTTCATTAGTATGAACTCAAAATTTTGGGTAGTTTGACACTTTAATAGTGTTTTTTTTTTCTTTTTGATTCGGACTTTTGTAGTGTTAGAATTTTGGATGTAAAAATTAAATTGCATCTATTGAATTCTTTTCATTTTATAAAATTGTGTTTGGCTTGTTATTTGGGCAATTGAAAAGGAGGGGCACAAGAAAGAGGAATGTTATGTCTTCCTTTCACATGTTTGGTTAGATAAGAAAATGAAAAAAGTAAATAATATTTTGATATAAAGATACTTTTGTTTTTCATATGAAGTAATACATTTTTTGTTCAAAATAATTAATTGTGTGAATTAATTTTCATTTTTCCCAACCTTCAAGAAGAACTATTTGTTCATTACTTCAACAGAGATTTTATTTCTGCGGGTATCACCGTCCTTTCTCTCATCCAAATAACCATTTTTTCTCTATTCTCTAGCATTGTCTCTTTTTATGGAGTCAGTGATTATTAATTAATTAGCTTGGTGAATAAAGGGCATAAAGGATGCAAACTTGAAGAATGATCTAAAGGTATCAAGGGCAAAAAGATATATAATTCACACTCTCAGCAAAGTAATACCAAAGGCGAAAACATATATAATTCAGTCAGCAAAGGCACACATCCGATACATATTTCACTAATTCACGGACTCAAGTGATAGTTTCTCATTGTTTCACTATCGTTTCAGTCACTTTCCGGGGACGAAGTTTGTGGCATAGGCCCAAGCATTGTTGTTAACTGGGTCAGCTAAGTGATCAGCAAGGTTTTCCAAAGGTCCCTTTCCAGTGACAATGGCTTGAACAAAGAAACCAAACATGGAGAACATGGCCAACCTACCATTCTTCAACTCTTTCACCTTCAACTCAGCAAAGGCCTCTGGGTCATCTGCAAGGCCCAATGGGTCAAAGCTCCCACCTGGGTAGATTGGGTCTGTCACCTCACCAAGAGGCCCACCGGCAATACGGTAACCCTCAACAGCACCCATCAAAATAACCTGGGTGGCCCAGATGGCAAGGATGCTCTGTGCATGGATCAAGCTTGGGTTGCCCAAGTAGTCAAGCCCACCCTCGCTGAATATCTGAGACCCAGCCTTGAACCACACGGCCTCGCCAAACTTGACACCATTGCGGGCCAATAGTTCAGGGAAGACGCAGCCCAAGGCTCCCAACATGGCCCATCTCGAGTGGATCACTTCCAGTTCACGGTTTCTGGCAAAAGTCTCTGGGTCAGCAGAAAGCCCAGCAGTGTCCCAACCATAGTCACCTGGGAATTCACCAGTCAGGTACGATGGGGCCTCACCTGAGAATGGGCCCAAGTACTTTACACGGTCTGGGCCGTACCATGGGCTTCCTGAGGAAACGCTTTTGGAGGCTGTTTTCCTCATGCTGACCCTTCCATTGCCAAGCTCTGGGGTGGAGGGTGCAAGCTTGATTGCTTGGCCAGCCAATGATGGTGAAGACAGACCCATTGTTGAAGCTGCCATTCTAGTAGATTGATTTTATAATACAGTGAAAAGCTTTGTAAGTGAAATTGGTTATTGGTGTTGCCTATGTTTGTTGAGCACAATATATATAGCTTAAAGAAAAAAGATGTCCTTATCTTTATGAGATCTATATTTCAATTTCCATTGGCTTGAAATTGGAGTTTCATTTGTGTCCACATGCTTCTTCTATTGCTACTTTTCGGTCTTCAATTGTTTGATTTGCTTACCTTACCAACCCAGATATGAGATATCTACAAACACATCATTAAATACCACTTCTGCCAAATAAGAAATTGCCATGTAGGATTTTGGATAGGCTATATGAAATAAATAATAAATAGGTAGATTTACAAAGTGGGACACAGGTAAAATTGTCGAGGGACCGCAGTGCATTGTTCCAATTGCTAGTGGATTTCAATTGGTAAGCATCAAATTACTGTAACATTTTCATATCCACATTATTCGTGGCGTATCAAAACTAATGTCTCATTTCTGCTTTTGTAAATGTGCAATCTGTACCCTGAATCCGGGATCTAGTTGAAATTCGAGAGGAGGTGATGTTGTAATTTCTAATTTCTTTCGGATTTGTGCACCGATTATTTTTATGAGATCGAACACTGTTTTTAATAGTAAATATTTTTAGTTAAAATTTACATATTTTAAAATAAAATATTTATCTTGCAATGGATGTCGAATAATCGAAGTATAAGGATTGGAAGTTTAATTATTTTTATAGGAGCTGTCATCAAAAACTTTCTTTGGCCAAAGGAAAAAAGGGTTCATCATTCTTGTTATCAATCGAACAAACAAATATGATGCACAACGAAAATGAGAGAGAGAAGGAAGAAGGGATTTTTAATACTAGATTTCATTCAAAGAGCTGATTCTCTATATTTTTTTTGTTTAGCATACAATGCCTTTTATAGGCATTACAAAGTATAAAACTTAATTATTAAGTAACATTTATTATTCTTCATTTTAAAGTAAACCAAAGACGGTGCAATCATTGTGGACAATGATCAAAATTTCAAGTTGGTGCTATAGTCATTCAACATTATCAGCTTGATTTAATTTTCTAACATTGCTTCCCTTAAATCAAGCTTGTATTATTTCAAGCATTTTCTTTAACTTGTAAAATAACTCGATCTTTAATGGTTTCGTAAAAATATCAGCAACATTTATGGTCCTGTTCGTGATGTATGGACGTAGCTTTGGACGCAAACCAATTTTATTTCTCTTCATCACGTCTTTGTTTGTAGTGAGTTGGACGCTTTGAAGCAATTCCACCTTTTCGTCTGAGTTTGCTGCACTAGGAAAAATGATGGAGTATAAGTCCGTCTCTGGATGCATCCCTTCTAGAATTAGCAGATTCAAGGTTTTCCTGGACGAAAATGAAGGAAGAGGCCTTGGAGGCACGATCAAATGATTGACTCTAATTGCTGTCTTTCTTTTCCTTAAAGCCAAATATTTACAGGGGTGACCTGTAAGGAAATTGAGGTTTAGATGACATTCAAGAAGGATAGATAGAAAGGAGTCATAGGAATATCACTTACAAAGGAAGAATGTACAGTGATAAGAGGGGAAGGAACGTCCACAGGAATTTCAGATTGAGCTGAAGGGACGATGACTTCAGCCTCAAGTTCCACAACCACCTTTTCAGCCTCAAGTGAAGGAGCACATGCCGACCGCTCCGGCTCAGCAACCACTTTTGATGTTAACCTTATAACCCTCTTCTTCTTAGGGTGAGGTGGCGCTAGAGGAGGTAGAAGAGCTTTTCTTTTTAATGCCTTCCCTATGGGTTGACTGTCCTTTGCATCAGGCGCAAATTCTTTGTCTGATCCGAATTAGAGGATCATTCTCCTTTTTGCTGGTTGTGCAGCAACAATCAAAGGTTTATCCTCCTTTGGAGATGGAGAGGGTTAGCGCTTCCTGCTAGAGCGCGTCACCGGTTGTTCTCCTTCGATCTCCTTCTTTGTCTTCAAGGCTATCGTAGGGTCAGAGATGTTGTAACTTACTGGCATTTTCCCCAAGTTTGCCTTTCTGAATACAATGGGATTCAGTCTCTTGTTTCTCTCCATTGCCATGATCCTCTGCCTCTCGTCTTCTTCAATGGTGAAGAAGGTTTGGTAGACTTTATGGTCCTAGAGGATTTTGTTGAGGAGCATGGTGTGAACCAAGAACTCCTTGCTGTCTTTCAAGCACCCTCTCTAGTGCTGAAAGAGGACTTGAGGGAGGTTGAAAGCGGTTCCAGTCATCATCTGGAACAAGCAGAACTTATGCAAGTCTGAGATGCTGTCCTTGGCGCCTACCTTGTGAAGGATCAACTTGTTCAGTAACTGTTGATAGACCTTAGCCTTATCTTCAAACTTGTTGTAGGCTATAGGTCCTTCTTCACCCTCCTTGTGAAGGATCGTGATGACCTGGGACAGATCAACTACATCAGACATCCACCCCCTTGTGGTAGATGGTGCTTGTCTTCTCGCACCCAATGGCTTGTGCAATGGTGGTAGGACAGACTCTGACGGTTACTCCAAGCACCGTTCCTTCAAAGAATCCTTGAGAGGCCTTCAAGGATTCGTAGAACATCTTCACCAACCAAGGGTATACAACCTCATTGATGTTGAAATACCTGAGGATTCCACAGTCAGCCAAATCCTCGTAAATGGGTATTCCCCATTCCTTCATCTAGCTGATGTTGAAGTGATGTTCCAAATACATCACTGGCTTTTCCTCCGTGGAGAAGGTATGAGCCCAATCAGTGGCTTCGTGCATCTCTGCGGGGATGGTCATAGTTGGAGCGTTCTCAGTTGGGACGACCATAGTAGTGAAGTGAAGAAGGTTTGAGAAGATTAGGATTTTAAATTCAGAGAGAAAACTTAAGAGTTTGAAGTCTTTGAGTGTAAAAAGTAAGATAGTGAGTTTGAGGGAAGATATAGGATTTTTGAAACAGAAAAATATTTTTGTTTTTATTATTATTTGTTTGACGTGGTGCCCTTTTGCCTTCCTCATGCAGAGTGATGTGTGTTATGCGCAACTTGCATTAAATTCTGGGTAAAGGATCTGTCTTTTCAAATAAGAACCCTAAATGAAGGTTTTGTCACTTATTTAATTAAAGTTTTATCCTTTAAATGTGGAGAATGTTTGTCTCCAACTTCTCTTGACAGATTTCTCGTTTAATGATGAAGGTCATTCATTAGGAATGTGCCAGACTGATTTTTCAGACGCAAGGACTAAATATTCAAATGGAAGGGAAATTACCTAGACACTTCATCGGACGAAGATTCTCAGACGCAGTAATTTCTTAGAGCAACTCTAATGGGAGTTGCTTGGCCCATCAAGCAACTCTAACCTCAGTTGCTTACAATTGGAGGTGTCTGATGTGGCAGCAGGAGTTTCTTGCAGAAGAGAGATGGTTGCTTAGTGAAGCAACCGTTCCTTACATTTGTGAACGGAAGGAGGCGCGGTGGTTGGACGGCGGAGGCGCGCGAGTGGACAGCGGAGGCGCGCGGGTGGACGAGGTACCGAAGGAATTCTAGCACGTGCGCGCCGCTGCAGTGTGAGAGCGAGAGAGGGGGTCTGTAACGTGTTTCAGTCGCGCTGCTTCTGGTTCTGGTAGTGGCTTAGAGTGGCAGAGGAAGACGATAGCAATGAGGGTGGTGTCGGTGAAGGGAAATTGGAGGTGGTGACTTCTATGAGGTTGATGCCCTTCATGTCCGTGTTTGCTGAGGGTTTGAAGAAAAAGGAAAAAAATGGAGATTAAGAGCCTTCCGAAAAGAAGAAGAAATGTTAGCCAACACTGTCATTGGTTCAATAATGAAAAGAAAATCTGGTTTATGTTTAAATCGTATAGATTTGAAAGCCATTTGAGATTCTTTAGCAGCTATTCCCCCTAATATTCCAAAATAATGCTTTCATGTAGACTGATTAGATGAGACTATTTTGGAGCGAATCTTAGCAATTGCAGATTTGACCCTTATGGAGGCCTTTTTCTTTTTGTTACTTTTAGAAATAACAAGATGAAACGAAGGATCAACCATAGAATCATTAGCCTACTCAATGAAAGTCATATCCTATTGTATAGGTTCATCAAAGATGTCTTCAAGTGGTGGCATTCCTTCGAAGAACCACAAGGAGAGTCTTGTGTTTATCATGAACCAGACAAGTATAAGGGAAAGTAAGTGCGCATGCTTAGCAAGATCTAAATTGAAAATATCTTGATAAATTTCAAAATGTAAGTACTCAAAATTAATCAAAAGAAACTATCTTCTAGTAAACAAATAACTTTATTAATACTACTAATTAATGAATTATTTTAATGTCCCCTAGGTGGAAATAATGACATTACATGTGTATAAAGTTGGGAATAAAATAGAAAAGACAAAAATATACTTTTCGTCCCTTATATTATTTATTAGTGTCAATTTAGTCTCATTTTAATTAATTGAATCAATTTAGCCCTACATCTTTAAAATGTATCTCAATGTTTGACCTTCTGTTTTCTCCGTTTAAATACTTAACGGATGTGACAAGTGTCATGCCACGTGTCATGCTATCATGACACATGGCATGATAGCATGACACGTATCATGTCATCGTGTCACATGTCATGACACGTGTCAGATCGCGAGAGAGGGGGTCTGTAACGTGTTTCAGTCGCGCTGCTTCTGGTTCTGGTAGTGGCTTAGAGTGGCAGAGGAAGACGATAGCAATGAGGGTGGTGTCGGTGAAGGGAAATTGGAGGTGGTGACTTCTATGAGGTTGATGCCCTTCATGTCCGTGTTTGCTGAGGGTTTGAAGAAAAAGGAAAAAAATGGAGATTAAGAGCCTTCCGAAAAGAAGAAGAAATGTTAGCCAACACTGTCATTGGTTCAATAATGAAAAGAAAATCTGGTTTATGTTTAAATCGTATAGATTTGAAAGCCATTTGAGATTCTTTAGCAGCTATTCCCCCTAATATTCCAAAATAATGCTTTCATGTAGACTGATTAGATGAGACTATTTTGGAGCGAATCTTAGCAATTGCAGATTTGACCCTTATGGAGGCCTTTTTCTTTTTGTTACTTTTAGAAATAACAAGATGAAACGAAGGATCAACCATAGAATCATTAGCCTACTCAATGAAAGTCATATCCTATTGTATAGGTTCATCAAAGATGTCTTCAAGTGGTGGCATTCCTTCGAAGAACCACAAGGAGAGTCTTGTGTTTATCATGAACCAGACAAGTATAAGGGAAAGTAAGTGCGCATGCTTAGCAAGATCTAAATTGAAAATATCTTGATAAATTTCAAAATGTAAGTACTCAAAATTAATCAAAAGAAACTATCTTCTAGTAAACAAATAACTTTATTAATACTACTAATTAATGAATTATTTTAATGTCCCCTAGGTGGAAATAATGACATTACATGTGTATAAAGTTGGGAATAAAATAGAAAAGACAAAAATATACTTTTCGTCCCTTATATTATTTATTAGTGTCAATTTAGTCTCATTTTAATTAATTGAATCAATTTAGCCCTACATCTTTAAAATGTATCTCAATGTTTGACCTTCTGTTTTCTCCGTTTAAATACTTAACGGATGTGACAAGTGTCATGCCACGTGTCATGCTATCATGACACATGGCATGATAGCATGACACGTATCATGTCATCGTGTCACATGTCATGACACGTGTCAGATCTTTTAAGTATTTAAACGAAAAAAATGGAAGGTCAAACATTGAAATACATTTTAAAAATGTGAGACTAAATTGATTCAATTAATTAAAGTGAGACTAAATTGACACTAATAAATAATATAAGGGACGAAAAAGGTATTTTTGCCAATAGAAAATGACATAGTTTAGAGTTTGTTAAATAAAAAAATTCAAAGTAAGTGCCATTTATTTTTTCTCATTTGTCATATCAAATGTGAAACAACTTAGAAATAGATAAGTTTTCTATCATAAAAATTTCAACTATTTTTATACCATTGTAATTTATAGAAATGCTTAATTCTTTAGATAAGATTGTTTTACCATCGGTTTGTCAAATTTTAAGAAAAATAGGTGAAATTTAACTCAAAACATAGAAGTCAAGACTACACTAAATTGAATGTGAGCTAGCATCTCTATTTTAAATTTAATTAGCATTTTGGTTTTGTTTAGTTAAAAACACAAATCACACGTAAAGTTATAAAGCTACTTGGAGTAACTTTTTTTGTGAACGTATGTATTTGGCTAAAACCGATGCAAAACTACAAATTTAAGGTTTTGGTTCACTTCTAACTTAGCAGAGGGCTTAAAATCACTCGTAGACTTGGTAGGGCACATCTTAAATTGAAATTTATAGTATGAATTGAATAATTAATTAATCATGTAAAGAATCAAAAACAAATTATACTTCTGGATTATCTAAATTACCAAAAATTAAATAATAACACTAGTAGCTTTTTCGATGAATGAAAATAAATAAATAAATAACATAAACAAATAAATAAACCCATTCGAATATTATTTGTAAGTCTGTGCCGGAGCTCATTTAATTTTAACTTAAAAATAAGTTATTATTTGGTTACATTATTCCTCATTTTTTAATATTTCTTATATCGAATATAGCTTAAATATATTGCACTCTATTTAAGAAAGCTAATTAAGGGTTTGTTGTGAGGTCTTTTTGAGATTATATAAATAAAGCGATAATTCATATTATAATCCTATGCTTAAGACAATAATTGAATTTTGATTCTTATTGAAAAACGCAAATGTTGAACTATCTGTTTTCACAACTTTTGGTAAGTAATGTTGACCTAAACCATATCACTATCATCCAACTACTTGTACTAAATGTAGTTATACGTATGTTTTTAATTGGTATATGATGCTCTCTTTGTTGATACTATATCTCCACATGTCCATCGATGTAAATAAAGTTCATTAAACAGTACAAAATTAAAGAAAGATCCAAATCCACCATAAAGATATATAATTCACATTATTCTCATAATCATACATCTAATATATATTTCACCGCATAACAAAATGAAATTGTCACTCATTTCCAAATCATGATGTTTCTCATAGTTTCAGTCACTTTCCGGGGACGAAGTTGGTGGCATAGGCCCAGGCATTGTTGTTGACTGGGTCAGCTAAGTGATCAGCAAGGTTTTCCAAAGGTCCCTTTCCAGTGACAATGGCTTGAACAAAGAAACCAAACATGGAGAACATGGCCAACCTACCATTCTTCAACTCTTTCACCTTCAACTCAGCAAAGGCCTCTGGGTCATCTGCAAGGCCCAATGGGTCAAAGCTCCCACCTGGGTAGATTGGGTCTGTCACCTCACCAAGAGGCCCACCGGCAATACGGTAACCCTCAACAGCACCCATCAAAATAACCTGGGTGGCCCAGATCGCAAGGATGCTCTGTGCATGGATCAAGCTTGGGTTGCCCAAGTAGTCAAGCCCACCCTCGCTGAATATCTGAGACCCAGCCTTGAACCACACGGCCTCGCCAAACTTGACACCATTGCGGGCCAATAGTTCAGGGAAGACGCAGCCCAAGGCTCCCAACATGGCCCATCTCGAGTGGATCACTTCCAGTTCACGGTTTCTGGCAAAAGTCTCTGGGTCAGCAGAAAGCCCAGCAGTGTCCCAACCATAGTCACCTGGGAATTCACCAGTCAGGTACGATGGGGCCTCACCCGAGAATGGGCCCAAGTACTTTACACGGTCTGGGCCGTACCATGGGCTTCCTGAGGAAACGCTTTTGGAGGCTGTTTTCCTCATGCTGACCCTTCCATTGCCTAGCTCTGGGGTGGAGGGGGCCAGCTTGATTGCTTGGCCAGCCAGTGATGGTGAAGACAGACCCATTGTTGAAGCTGCCATTCTAGTAGATTGATTTTGCAATACAGTGAAAAGCTTTGTAAGTGAAAGCGGAGAGAATGGTTATTGGTGTTGCCTATGTTTGTTGAGCACAATATATATAGCTTAAAGAAAAAAGATGTCCTTATCTTTATGAGATCTATATCTGAATTCCTATTGGTTAGGAGTATCTATTGTGTCCACTTGCTTCTTCACATATCACAAATCGATTTTGTATTGTTTGTTTTCCTTACCTTACCTGTGCAGATCAAATATCATTAAATACCCATTCCATCCAGTAAGAAACTGCCATGTGGGATTTTGGATATGCTAGGTAAATAGAGTAGATATATGAAATCGGATACTTGTTAAAATAAAGTGTTGCAGAAGCGGGACCACTGTGCATCTGTAAAAATATCAAGTATCTCAGGAAGTATTGCAAAATATACATATTTGCAATGGTAAACATTTATACTTTATTTTCTAGGTTGAGAAAATTATTTGCTGTAGTCTGTAGGTATTCCTTACCACATGAAAGTGAAATAGTCTATAGGGAAATTTCTCCACTGTGTCGAGACAGATGAATTTAATTTTCATATAATGCTACTACTATAACCGCAATGAATAGTAGCCAGACGTTTTTCTTATCAACTATTTTGTCATGTGGTTGGTTGTGTTGTATCTAATTTTAACTGGTTTGATAGTCCATCATGGCTGACAATGAAATTGAAATATAGATATATGTACCAATTTGATGATTAATATTCAAATTTGTAATTGATTTGTGATGCAGAGTGAAGTACAGTAATATTTAAGAAAAATTCACCTCAGTGGTGAACTTCTTTTCGCAATTCATAGTAATTTCATCGTCAGAAACATCATAGAATCACAAAATGAAATGAGATGTGAATTGGGAAAGCAATATTTACAAGTTTTCTTTCAAAAACAATTTCCTTGCAATTCATATATATAAGGCAAAAATATATTCAAAGGGGTTTTGAAACCTCTGTAGTTGTACCATTCAGAAAGATAACAACCATCAATGAAAAATGATAAATAGCTAAATCCTGCAAATAATAAGCAAAAACCATTTCCATTCGAATTTTGTCATTTTTAATTTATTATAGTATAAGGTAGATACGTTAAATCCCATCCTACTTGCATTTTTTGTACATCTAAACCTGCTTTCCGGTTCATTATCACTATTATATTTATTTATAAAATGATTTTTCATATTTTAAAAAAAAAATATCCACATTTAAAAGTAATATTATACAACAATATAAAATATTTATCATAAATATTTCTATATCAAAAATATATTATTTATTATAAATTTTAGATTTATATAATAAATATTTAGTCTGTATTCTCCGGATTAAAATAATGATTCAATAATATGTTTGGAAACTAATAAAGTATGAAATTACATTTGAAATGGTATAGAATCTATAACTATTATCTTTTTAAAATCACTTCTAAGATGTGAAATCAAACGCACTATGTATCACTTTTCCAGTTAACATCATAACAATACCACTAATGTCAGCTCATTGATAGAGAGATTGAGTAATATATAAGATTTTAGGTTCAAATTACATTGTAATTCTTAAGGGAAAAAAAGTTATCATAAAAGTACTTAAATATCATTTAATGCCCAATCTACAGAGAACTTGAGATACATGACTCACGAGAAGGTGCGATCTCATCATCTCAATGCCTAATTCACACACAACCAACATATATTTGAATATTTTCTTAAGACTTTTACTACCGGTGAATTCTATGAAGCATTAGAACATCTCTAAAACTGTTGAATGACTAACGTTTTTGGTTGTATAACAAACTGGAAATCAGGAAATACAAATAAGTATGAGATTTTTCTTAAAGAAAGCATCCCATAAATATTCCTAATCTGCGTTACAGCCTTACAGGTCAAATAGTCATGTACATTTCAATATGACATGTTTCAACATGACAACATGCTTCATGTAACAGTTTCAATCCAATGTAAGATAAAGGGTTACATGAAACACAATGTTAATGCAGAGAAAAGCTATTCAAGCTTTAAAAAATACACTTGAAACTAACAGTCATCATAAACTATCATTGTCTTCTCTCATAGAATAATGTAAAGCATGTTGGTCGTCGAGTTAAATATGTAACCATCAAATTATTGAAACAGTATCATTCACTAAACTGCTGACAGAAACCAAGGCTTCAGGGGCTGTGGAGTTCAATTTTGTTGAAGATCTTGTAGAGGTTGCCTCTTAGGAAATGCACTCTTTGAAATGATTGAGCCAACTTGCTCCTTCTTCGCAATTTTAATGTTCTCTTTCATATCACTATTTCCAAGAACATCCCTTGCATGTTTCACAGGCAAACTCTTTACAATCTTCATCTCTTTCTTCATTGATAATTCAAGGAGCTTAGGATAAAAAATATTGTTGTCTTCTGAACTTGCAATTGGTGTAGACTTTGGTGGTGTTTCCAACTTCTCTTGAATAGTACATTCCTCTTCATAATTAGTGCCTATAAATCATGGTTTCGAAAAACATCAATTGATTCCAACGTATAAATTAAACAGTCACTTTGCATAGGCAAATTCTTAAATAGACATTCCATTACTTCAACCAAAACTTATACTTTACCTGATGCAGAATTTTGCTGAAGGTTAATGGTGCATGACTTCATCTCACTAGGTTGAGGCATAGTTGGAACACACTCAGTTGGTTTAGACCTAGGTGGTGTTGCCAAATTTTCTTGAATAGTACCTTCATCTCCAGAAACAGTGCCTAGAACATACTCTTCTGAACTTGCAATTGGTGAATACTTTGGTGATATTTCCAACTTCTCTTGAATAATACCTTCATCTCCAGAAACAGTGCCTATATATCAAGGTTTAGAAAAACATCAATTGATTCCTATGTATAAACAGTCAATTAGCAAAGGCGAACTCTTTAATAGACATTGCATTGCTTTAACCAAAATTTATACTTTACCTGATGCAGAATTTTGTTGAAGGTTAATAGTGCATGACTTCATTTCACCTGGTTGAGGCATAATAGTTGGAACATAGTCACCTGGTTTCTCATCTGAATTTTGACCACCGGCATCATCAATAGACTGGAAACCATTAAGGAGATAATTTTCAAAGCTAGCCATATCCCCCTTTACATAATGTTGATTTTTGTCATCTTCAGCTCCAGTTACACCATTTTCTTCATGATCATCAGAGTAGTCGAACAACCTTGTAATTTCTCCTTCCACCGGATTGTTCTCCTCCATAGATCTCTGCAAAAGAACCAATTCATTTGCCATATGTAACACTTCCTCACTATATTCTTTCTCAATTTGATCACCTTGCAAGCTTTCTTCCACGTTGCAAGTTGCCACAGCATCTCCAAGTGTATTTGGATCAAAATATGTTTCAGCCTGAAAGCCTTTATTTGCAGAAAGCTCAAGGTTATTGGGCAAAAATCTAATGCATTCCTCAGAATCAGACATCAGACCTGACTTCTCAACTTCTCCCTCCAACAAATGGTCTCCAGCTTCCACTGAAGCAACCTGCACAAGATCTTCACTGTTCAAGACCATTACACCTGATGTTGCATGTATAACTTGCTGATTATCATCAACTTGCTCCTTGTTGACATCAATCTGCATGTTCTCCTCCACATCACAAATTCCAATATCAACTCTCTTTGTTTCTGGGGAATAAATTGTTTCAGACAGCAACCCTTGAGTCCCTGATTTATTTAGCTGCTTGGGAGAAATAACAACCACTCTATCAGAAGTTAGGCTTAAACTTATTTTCCTTGAAGATACAATGTTTGCTTCAGACGTGTCTGCATTTTCAATCACAATGCCTAGAACAAGGTCAGAGATATTATAAACTCATTATAAAATCAAAGGAGAACTTTTATGAACTGTCAATATCAATAAACTTTACAAAAAAAAAATCACTATACCTGAAGCAACCATTTCGTGGATTTTAAGATCAGACTTCACTTCCCTGGATGCATCATTTTGCAGAAAATCAACTGGTGTCCCATCTGAATTTTTAAAAGTAGATGAGTGGAACTCATCTATAAAATGTTCTACACTCTCATTGGTCTTCCCATCATTATTGATAGGGCCATTGGAACTGTCAAGGCATCTGGTATCAACTTTAGATCTTCCATTACTAACATCATAAACAGCATCATAAACACAAGTATAGTCATCCAATTTGTGAACTCCTTCAACCAAAGGGTTACCAAATTCCTTGTGATGTGTTGATCCTTGGGGACTGTTGGCATCATCGTCTTGTCCATTTTCACCAACATCATGAACATCAGAGTTGTTAAACAACCCAGTAACTTCTCCTTGTTCTATGTGTACATTACACTCCTCCATAGATCTGTGTAAAAGATTTGCATCTTCTTTACTGTATTCAACTTTCTCCATCTTGTCACTTTGGATGCTGGCTTTCATGTTACAAGTTCCTATATCCCCAAGTGTACTCGAATTAAAATATGTTTCAGCCTGAAAGCCTTCAATCACCGAAACTTCAAGGTTCTTGGGAGAAAACCCAAAGCATTCCCCTGGATCTGCAATGGAACCTGGCTTTTCTGGTGATTTCAACTCCTCTTCACAAATATCTGCATATGCAGAAAGATGGTTCAGAATTTGTGCTATAAAAGATTGTGAAATCATACTTAAATACATAACCAATAAATTTAAAACCAAAATTGCACTATACCTTGATGAATATTAAGATCAATAAATTTGATTTCATTTTCTGGGTAAGTTCTCAGAAATTGATCTGGTGTGCCATCTGAATATTTAAAACTAGAAGGAAAATTAGGAACAACATCTGCAAAATGTTCTGAAGTTAAATTGGTCTTCTCATCAGTACCCGTGGTATCATTATAAATATTGCCATCAGATTTCTGTATTTCTTCCACCAAAGGGTAACCAAATTCCTGTTGAGAAACATGTAAAACATTTACATCTTTGATGTTTGATCCTTGAGGGCTATTGTGGTCACCTCGTTCCACAGCATCATCTCTACCCTTTCCATTTTCACAAACATCTTCAATATTATTTTTCTCACCCAACTTCTCAACTTCTCCCTCCAACAAATGGTTTCCAAATTCCTCTGAAGGAGCCTGCACAAGATCTTCATCGTTCATTTTCATTACATAAGGTGCTTCATACACATCTTCCGGATTGTCACCTACCTGCTCCTTATTTACATCAATCTGAATGTTTTCCTTCGTATCACAGATTTCAATATCAACTTTTAGGGTTTCTGGGGAATAATTCGATTCATACTGTGACACTTCAGTCTCTGAATTACTTAGCAACTTGGGAGAAAAACCAATGCTCTCTAAAGCTGGGGTTATACTCATCTTTGGTGAAGACACAAATCTTGCTTCACACCTGTCAGCATTTTTAGTAGCTGTGCCTAGAAAAACAAGGTCATAGAGATTATAAACCAATTCCTACAAAATCAAGGTTTAGAAGTTTAAAAAATCCTGCTTGTACACACACACACATAATATGAACTATGAAATAAATATTTATGAAAAAAATAAATCATTATACCTGAAGCAACCATTTCGTGAATATTAAGATCACTAGAGTTTACTTCACAAGATGCATGAACGTCATTTGTAAAATGTTCAACAGTCACATTAGTTTTCCCATCAATATCCATGGCATCTAAATCAAGGTGCATACTATCAACTTCAGATCTTTCGTTTCCAACATTATGGACAGCATCCCCAACACAAATAAAGTCATCATATTTTTTAGCTTCTCCTTCAATCAAAGGGTAACCAAATTCTTCACAAGAAACTAGTGAAAGGTTCAAATAATTTCTTCTACATCCTTCAGGACTGTTGTCATTATCATCTTGCTTTTCAGTTTCAGCTCCAGCCTTTCCTGTTCCACAAACATCTTCAACAAGATTAGTTTGGTCACTCAACTTTTCAACTTCTCCCTCCACCATATGGTTGCCAAATTCCTCAGGAGAAACCAGTAAAAGATTCAAATCTTTTTTGTTAGACACTTCAGGGTTGTTGGCATTATCCTCTAGTTTTTCAGTTTCAGATCCTTCAGGATTGTAGGCATTATCCTCTTGTTCTTCAGTTTCATTCCCAGTCTTTCCTGTTCCACAAACATCTTCAACAAGATTAGTTTGGTCACCCAACTTCTCAACTTCTCCTTCCACCAAATGGTTGTTAAATTCCTCTAAAGCAACTAGATCAGGTGCAACTTGCTCCTTATTGAGCTCACTTTTCATGCCTTCCTCAACCCCACAAATTCCAAAATCTTCCCTTGTTATTTCCAGAGACAAATTCGTTTCAAACCCCAACATTGCATCCTCTGAAATTCTCGAAATCTTGGCAGAAAAATCACTTCTTTCTTCTACAACCGGGCTAGGACTCACCAAATCAATCATTTCTACATCTTTCTCTGTTCCACCATTCTCAGAACCTACAGGATCTTCTATATCTTTTCCCTGTGTGCAAACCAAAGTACACAAACACAATAACTAAACAAGCCAACAAACAAACAAATAAAATATTTCCTTGAAAAAATAGACAAAACTTAAAATTTATATGCAGTTTCTTATATGCTTTTAGTGCTACTTTTCAATCAAAATTCAATTAATTTTGGCGAAACTCCAACTCTTATCAAATAACAACATCAAAATCACTGATTTGTCCAAAAAAAACAAAACAGATGACTTGAAGAAAAGGGTACAATGATAAGTAACCTTGAAAATGAGGAAAAGCCTATCTGCCATTTCCGTATTCTTCAAATTTGCAGGGATGCCATGTTTCTTGCACAAAGCCTGTAGTCTCTTCCTCTTCATGCCATGAAAGTCCATCTCAACTACTCACTCAGTTTTGAACAAGTGATTTCAAAACAAACACTGCCTTGTGCAAATTTAAGCCAAAGTGTTTACACAGAAAAGAAAATGGTTAGGGACTTGGTTAGTTTCTGGAAGTTAAATTGGTAGTTTCCCGCTACTTTAATATTTGTATTGAGAATCTATTCATTGGTACATTTTTCCAGTGGCTCTGTTAAAGGTACGGTATTTTCAAGATGCATATGTTTTTGTCAATGTATTTCTTTTTCGTGCACAAGTTTGAATTCAAGTTTGAATTGCCAAAACATTATCCGATTAGAATTTGAATTTTTTTTAACATTTTCTGTCAATGGTCGGTGGCTTTACACGTGTACCACCAATGACCCGGCTGCAACACGTGGTGCTAATAACTAAGTTGTAACTCCCTTGTTTTGTCATAACTTGCATTTACACAAGGTACTTTTGTGTTTTTATATATGCTAAAAACACATCTATTTAAAAATATATGTTTGTAAATAAAGATAAAAATATAACTAATTGTTTAAGTTTTTTCTAAGAAAATTATAGAAAGAATAGAAATATTCAAGTTAGATATAATTATTTTTTTTATTTAAAATATTTATAAAATTGTAATATTTTTTATATAATAAAAATTTTATTTTAGAATTTTAAAAAAATAAATTATCTTAAATTTAAATATCTTGTTATTTTAGAATGTGAAATGATAAATATATTTAATTATTTTGTGGTTATATGATGTGAATAAAAAAAAATTATATTTATAATTTTATATTTTTTTTATAAATTAATAAAAAGTTATTGGAAGTAAGAGTCACAAAAATGTCTTGTGTTCTTCCTGTCCTATCTCATCTTATCCCATGTTATTTCATTCTGCTTAAGAAAATGAGTTAAAAAATTCAAGGTAAAAAACCTATTTTGGTCCGTTATATTAATTGTTTGTTTCAATTTAGTCTCACTTTTATTTTTTGTCTCAATTTGGTCCCAAACTAATTAATTGGTTTCAATTTAGTCTCAAATTAATTAATTGGTTTCAATGTGGGACTTCCGTCCAAATTATTTAAACGGAGTTAACTTTTGGCCACGTGAATGCCACGTAGATGCATACGTGGATGACAATTTTTTTGAAAACACCTGGACCCAGAACGACCCGTTCTGAAACCAGAACGGCCGTTCTGGATTCAGCACGGCCGTTCTGGATTCAGAACGGCCCGTTCCAAAACTGAGAATATAATATTCTTGACTTAATTGTGTTTTTGATCGCTCAAGTATTATAATTATGCAATTTTGATCCCTAAGGTTTTAATTGAGTAATTTCAGTCCTTAAAATATTACAGCTGTGTAATTTTAGTCTCACAATTTTTAATTGAACAATTTTAATCTCTCAAATATCATAATTGTGCAATTTTAGTCTTTCTCATTAAAAATTTAATAATTTTAAAATTTTAATATATATATATAATGTTTTAAAACTATATAATTGTTTGTTTATTTAAATTAACGTATATTTATTTTTTTTAATGTATCAAATGATATATATTTACTATTACTAAATAAATAAAATTTATATATTATTAGTATTTTAATATTACTGATAAATTAATATCAATAATATTTTTACCCTTTTTATAAATAAACTAATAATTTGATAAATATAACTTAATATATATTAATATACTTTTACAAAAATATAAATATATAAGATCAGATATATATTTCTAATTAATATACTTATATTTTTGTAAAAGTATATTAATATATAACAAGTTATATTTATCAAATTATTAGTTTATCTATAAATATATTAATAATATTATTGATATAATATCGAAAATTATAATATACGTTAATTTGAATAGATAAATAATTATTTAATTTTAAAACATTAAATATATATATATATTAAAATTATTAATTTTTAATGGGAGAAACAAAAATCATACTATTATGATATTTGAGGGACTAAAATTGTTCAATTAAAAATTGAAGGACCAAAATCGCGAATTGCAATTCTTTAAGGACTAAAATTACCCAATTAAAATCTTGTGGATCAAAACTGCACAATTGTAATACTTGAGGGATAAAAAATGCAATTAAACCAATATTCTTTATTAATTTTATTAAAAAATATAATAATTTTGAAAAATATTTTTTTATGGTAAAAATTTTAAAATTACTTATTTTTATAAAATACAATTGTCTTATAAATAGAGTAATAATTTTTTCTTTTTCTCTTTCTGTTTGAAGAAATATTTAAGTATCACTTTATAATTTTTTACAACTTATTTAAAATTAGAGGAATAAAATGATAAAAATTAATAAGATAAACATAATAAAATAAAATATATAAAAAATATTAATATATTTATTTTATTAGATATAACAACATAATTAAAATATAATTAATAATATATATTTTATAAAATTAATAATTTTTTTATATATAAAAAAAAGGATGAAACCGGAACGGCCCGTTCTGAAACATGAATGGGCCGTTCTGGTTGCACTTTTGGTGTGTTAATTTCGCACCCGGAACAGGCCGTTCCGGATGCAAAATTAATGCACCAAAAGTGCAACCAGAACGGCCCGTTCCGGTTTCAGAACGGACCGTTCTGGGTCCAGGTGTTTTAAAAAAAATTGGCATCCACGTGGCATCCACGTATGCATCTACGTGGCAACCACGTGGCCAAAAGTTAACTCCGTCTAAATAATTTGGCCGGAAGTCCCACATTGAAACTAATTAATTAATTTGGGACTAAATTGAAACCAATTAATTAGTTTGGGACCAAATTGAAACCAAAAATAAAAGTGGGACTAAATTGAAACAAACAATTAATATAAGGGACCAAAATAGAGTTTTTGCCAAAATTCAATTACTTCTTTTAATAATTAGAAAAAATTATATCACTTGACAAATATGACAGTTTATTGTTATTTATCAATATTTTATTTTGATATATATAATAATTTGATGTTGATATTCGTTCAACTTTGATCACTTTTAAAAAACATATAAAAGATGATATATTTTTTTAGTATAAACTATCCATTTGTATACATGTATTTTATTGAAAATAAAAATAAATAAACTTGATTTTACGTTAGTAATTGATTTAGACACAATAAATAAAATACCAAAATTCATAAAAATAATTAATAAAATTATTTACACTAAATATATCGAAAACAATAAATTTTTTTCTTAAAATATTACAAAATAGTATTATAATAGTTTTTTTAAAAGTGAAAGTGTGTGAAAAGACAATTTTTTGAAAGGCAAAAAATGGTGTATATATATATATATATATATATATATATAAGTCAAGAAATGAAGATAGAATAAATTTTGGTTTGAAAGGGGAAAACATGAAAAATGAAAATAAAAACAGTATGATAAAATAAGAGGATGTTTTTAAGCGGGAACTTTTTTTTCCAACCGCTGACATATGGCTAGGTGAAATTTTCTTTTTTTATTAGTAGAATGATTAATTTAAACATAATAAATTAAAAAGAAGGATTTTTAAAAATAATAAGGAGATTATTTACACTTAGTTAATCTGTGTGCTAAATTCAAATAATTATTTTGCATAAGAATGAAAATATTTTTAGAAATTATTATTTGATGGTCTACATAGATAACTTTACCCTTAAATTTTTAAATTAAAAAAAATAATATTAAATTAACCATTCTTACAAACTTTAGACTTGAATTCAAGATTTTAAAGTTTGTAGATCAAATACAATACTAGCTAATCTAATAAATATTAATAATTTTTTAATTTACAAAATAAAATACAGAGGTATAAAATATTTTGATCCCACTAATATATATATATGTGTCTGCAATGTATGTTCGAATTTTTAACTTATTTATGCATATTTATTTAGAATATTTTTATTCACTAAAAGAGCCGATTTTAAAAAATTGCACTTTTAACATTGGTCATTAACTTTTAACATCGGTCATGCATAAACCAATTTTAAAAGTTAGACTTTTAATATCGGTCATGCATAAACCGATTTTAAAAGTTAGACTTCTAAACTGGAATAAGTCATTCCAGGTTCCTCAAAAGGCCTAAAACTGTAGTCTGGAACAGTCCGTGCTGCAACTAGAATGGCCCGTACTGCAACCAGAACAACCTGTACTACAACTAGAATGGGCCGTTCTGGTGGCAGTACGGGTCGTTCTTGTGTGTGTGCGTGCGTGCGCGTGTGCGCGTGTGTAACGTGCGTGTGCGCGTGTGTCGCGTGTGTGTGTGTGCGCGTGTGTGTGTGTGTGTGCGTGTGTGTGTGTGCGTGCGTGCGTGTGTGTGTGTGTGTGTGCGAGCGTGCGCGTGCGCGTGCGTGTGCGTGTGTGTGCGCGTGCGTGCGTGCGTGTGTGTGTGGTTTATCTTCAGGTAAATATTCTCCCGTACCATAAATTACGCACTCCCTTACGTAATTGAAGTAAAAACTGCCCCTATAAATAGCGAACCTCAACAGAAATTGGAGAAAATATTGTAACATTGTAACAGCCACGAAGAGTGAAATAGAAAAGTGAGAAAGAAAAAGGAAGATAAAAAGAAAGAAAGATAAACAACTTTAAGGTAAAGGGGAGGAGAACTTTGTCTCTTTAAAAAGTCTATGTTGTTTTTTAATGTGGATGACTGTAATTTAATGTTTTATTTTGATTGTTAAGTTTTCATTTGCTGCAAAATTATTATTAAATATTGGTATAATTATCGTATGTTGCCTTAGGAAGTCATCAATAGTGCATGAGAAGTTTGTATTTCAGTGTTAATTTTAAAAATTCAACTTTTTTTCTAAATTCATAAAATTAATTTATAATTTTTAATAAATAAGTATTATCAAATTTTCAAACACCAATGACTGCAGGTGGTTAATTAGTATAAAGTTTAAAATTTATTATCCATAATAATGAATTTTATAAAAATTTATCATAAAGTCTAGGGTCAGTTGTCAAAAATCGTACTATGCGTTATAAAAAAGTGAACGTGCTTATAACCAATTTTAATTTCACAAAAAATTGTCAAAATATAGTATGAATTGCTTCTAAGTCATGAGGCACAGTTCGAACCATTTAAAATACATGAAAGTTACTTATAAGCAACTGTCATTGTAGATGTGCGTAGTCATACTTTTTCACTACACTTGAAACTCAAACATGTACATTGATTCATATAAATTTACTACAAAAGAAAGCAATATAAAAC